ACTAAGAACCAAAAAGTCCAAAAAGCAATACAAAGAAAATACAAGTATTAAGGATACTCAATGAATCACTCTCTTTTCTAATAGTAGAAAAGTAGCAACCTGTCTCACAGAAAATGAGATAGTTACTTAAAATAAATGAATTATATTTATACATGTCAATATTTTAAAAACATGGTATTAAGTGAAAAAAGTAGATTACAAGAGTATGCAAGCAAATTATCAAATCCCACTAACCAGTAACATACTGTACAGATATATACTCATGTAATAAACACGTAAAACCACCCATGACCGAAGCACACCACCAATATGACAGCAGCTACAAATGGGGAGGAAAATAAGGTATGAACAGGAACTTAAGGTTTTACTTTTACTTGTTACACTCCCTTAAAAAAAAAAATTATGGCAAAAACACTGACTTAATCTTAGTGGTAGTTATATATCTATTCATACTATTTTGCACTTTTCTATAGGTTTGCATTATTTCATAAATTAAAAAGAAAAACATGAGCTAAGCAAAACACTAACATATATTACTCATCACTACATTTAAAAGATTACAGGAAGTTTAAAAATGAATGCACCCATTATTAATTTATAGCCACTATTAACCAGTTTAATCAACTCCTAGTTTTGTCTCAGACCTCAGTAGACTATTTCAAGGAAGTCATGCTCAACCTTTACACTGTCTTAAGAGCTGTAGAGCTTCAGCAACTTCAACTGATTTCAAAGTCCTTCAGCTTCTCCCGTCTAACATGAAATTACTCTCTTTGTATGAGTATTCTAACAGCATTTTCTACTCTTGATAATCATATCTAACCATTTTTTATTCATAGAAGGAGGGATTTTCAGCATCCTTTTCTCAGTAGGGTAAACCGAAATGGAGCGTTCTTCCTAATGAGAATAAATTCTCACTAATGGGACTAATTCCCTTACTATAAACAATGATATTCTCTAAGAATAATCTAGCAGCTGGTTAGCAGTGTAAACTAGGGGTACAAAAAGAGCATAATAACTAACATGGACTAAGCACTATTATGATCCAGGAAATCCTAACACTTTACATGGATTGTCTCCTTTGATCTTTATAATAATTTTGTGAGGTAGATACAGTACTTATGCTCTAGTAATTATTCTAAAAATGTGCATTTGTTCCAATTCAGTTGCATAATATGAATTTTGTGTTTGCTTGGGCATAATTTTGTCTGCAAGAAATACTAGATGAAGGCAGAAAATGGCTACCAGCTGAACTGGGCTCTTCAGGAATGACAAAACATACCAACCTCAAACATCTACCTCAGATCACTACATGTGTTATCAGTGGTACAACTTTCCATCCAATTTCAGATTAATCCTTCTTCCACTACGTAACTAACAAATCCAACCTTTTCAACACCCATTTCCACGTCAGGTCTTTCCAAGGGAAAGAGCTATATTCACTGTATTACTTATACATTTCTTAACCATTTAACATGTGTAAAACTGTGCTCCTGTTTTTATTAGGTTCTTTTTAATTTATCATCAATGAAGTTTTTGAGTGTTGTCCCTCTAGTATTGTGCAATTTTGTAAAGCACGATGATTTTTAAGAACATTTATACTGCATTATAAAGAACTATTTAATTCCCAAATTACAGATAAGAAAAATAAGTCTTAGATAGGTTATATAATTTGTCCAAAATCATGTACCTAGTAAATGGTAAAACAGGATTTGCAGCCAGTCTAATACAAGAGCCTGTAGTACTACTCTCAATCACTACCTGCCCCCCAGTAACTGACATCAAATAGTTTTAAGATAGTCATCACAGTTAAATTGCTTTCCAAATACGAATTTCCATCTGAAATAACCACTGTATGAAGCAGTTTTATATATGTATATCCAAAAAGAAAAATATTAAAATGTTAAAGAATATATAATACAAATGATAAACAAGATGTTGATTTTTTTTTTAGGTACCATATTTTTCAGTTCTAGAATACTTCCATTTGATTTTTCTTTATAATTTCTATTTCTCCGACAATTCTTATCTTTTTGTCCATTGTGGATATATCTTCCTTTATATTGCTGGCTCCAGTTATAAAAAGCTGCTTCAAAGTGTTTATTCACAAATTCCAACATCTGGATCGCCTCAGAGTTGGTTTCTGTTGTTTCTTTCAATTTTCTTGAAAACTGATATTTTCCTGGTGTTTTGTTTTTATGTGTGTGTGATAAAACACATAACATTTGCCATCTTAACCATTTTCAGGTGTGCAGTTTAAGCACAGTGTTGTACAGCCAATACCATCATCCATCTCCAAAAATTTTTATATTCATAAATTGAAACTCCATATCCTTTAAACAATAACTTCCCATTATGGTTCTTCTTATATAGAATAATTTTGAATTGTATTTTGCACATTATGAATGTTGTATTTTAGAGGCCTTGGACATTATCACACTCTTTGAGTATTGATTTTTTTTTTTAATTTATTTATTTATTTGAGAGAGAGAGAGAGAGAGTGCACCTAAGAGAGCAAGCGGGGGGGGGGGGAAGAAAATCTCAAGCAGACTCTCCGCTGAGTGCAGAGCCCTACGCGGGGCTCAATCAAAGGACCCTGATATTATGACCTGAGCCAAAATGGAGAGTCTGATGTTTAACCGTCAGAGCCACCCAGGTGCCCTGAGAGTACTGATTTTTATTTATTTATTTTAGCACACAATTAACATGGTTGAGTTCAAAGTGCAAACTTTGTCTCTTTGGTGTGGCTCAAATTTCAGTTCAGATCTTTATTCTAAGCTGTGCTGCTCTGAATCCACCTAACCATGTGTGGTTCAGGGGTCGGCCAGAGACCTGAGCAGTTATTCACAGATCTTGAGGCTCCACGATATGGCTCATTCCCTTATGGAATTCTTCCCTAATTTTCTAATATCTATCATTTTCCTGAACTGTGTTCTCTACTTCTTCAGGCCAGAAGGACTTAGGTTTCCTTTTGGAGTTTTAGCCCCTGTGCAGAGTGCCAATTGTAGCCTGTTCCTCTGGATAAAAGCCATAAAAGTGGGGAAATTTACTCTATGCCACTCCCTTCTTCCAAGTGTTAATTCCCCTCCAGAATCTTCCTGCTTTTCTTTACTCCTCTGAGACTTTGGACAGTTATTATTTATTTTTTCCAAAGTTTATAGTTGTTCTCTATGGGAGGGTCAGTTCAGTAGGGATTAACTCGATATACTGAAAGCAGACTGTTGACTTATTTTTAAATTAGTTTTCATATCAGGTAAAAATATTTCAAGGTATTAAAGAAGTTCATTACTCAATTATTCCTCAAGCAAACAAATGAACACAATGTGCTAAATCTTATAAAAATTAATTTAGATCTCAGGTCCCAATAACTAAATAATTCATTAACAATTCTGGAATGCTCACTGAGGTATCTAAACCATAGGGAATTCAGATCTACAAATAAGTATCAGGACTTCATGGCAAACCAGTCCCTGAGCACTGTGGCTTGGTCTCCTTAATCCAGTTTTAAAGATGGCTAAAGTACCTAAGTACAGAAAACAATTTTTTACATTTAGGTCAAGTAAATCATTTATGTCTCTGTCTCATATCCAACAGATATGAACCATACAACTTAAAAACGCTGTCAAGTTGATGGTGATAAAAATTACTCTTTAATGCTTATTTTACCAATTCTTTCAAAACCCTTTTTCTTGAGAAACGAGAAACTGGAGAATGGAGCACAACTCTATAGACACTGCCACTCACCTATTTTTATATTTAAGCATTTAAAAAACAATGAGTTATATGAAAACTTGGTATATTTTCTGAACATCATTATGCTTTCACCAGTTGGTGGTGAAGTCAATTTGTGGTTATCTAGAAGTATCATTCTAAAATATACAATAGAACACTTCAGAAGCTGAGCTCCAAAACTTCATTTAATAATACAGCTCAAGAAAAAAATGTCTGAGTGCAAGCTATGTTGTCTTCATATTCAAAAGATATCACAAACTATTTTCCATTATTGTTTCTTTATAGCTACAAAGAGGGCCAAAAACAGAACCTTCATTTAGTTGTGTAAGACTAACTACTTTTGGTCTAGATTAAGATTCTAATTTTGTATTAATTTTATAATAACCTAGAAGCTAAATACATTTAGAGTACCCAATTCTAGGTGTTATAATGACTTTCACAATACTACATGGATTTAGAGTGTCAGGCTAACATGCTGTTTTTATCAATAAACAAGAAACTCACAACAAACATAGCTGTTTCGGGCGCCTGGGTGGCTCAGTCGGTTAAGCGGCTGCCTTCGGCTCAGGTCATGATCCTGGAGTCCCGGGATTGAGTCCTGCATCAGGCTCCCTGCTCAGCGGGGAGTCGGCTTCTCCCTCTGACTCTCTTCCCTCTCGTGCCCTCTATCTCTCATTCTCTCTCTCTCAAATAAATAAATAAAATCTTTAAAAAAAAACAAAACATAGCTGTTTCATGACTCTCACTGCTCTCCTCTTTTCCTATTCTAGGGATGCTGGGTGGCTCAGTCGGTTAAGCACTGCCTTCTGCTCAAGTCGTGATCCCAGGGTCTTGGGATCAAGCCCCACCTCAGACTCCCTGCTCAGCAGGAAGCCTGCTTCTCCCTCTCCTTCTGCCCCCCACCCCACATGCTCGCTCTCTCTCAAATAAATAAATAAAATCTTTTTAAAAAAAGTCTTATCCTTCACAAAACTTTCATCTCTCACCTCATCCTACTTCAGACTTTCAACAACTTTCTCCTCCGAAGTTCCACTGTATCTTAATACTTCTATTACAGCGGTTACCGCATACTATTTCATTGTTGTTTTTCTACCCTCCTAGACCAGAATGTCATTTCTCTGCACCACTACCTTCTAATACAGAACCTTAAGGAAACCGACACTTAGTGATCGTTGAGTGGACAGACTAATGCATGAATAGACTTTAGCTGCTTCATCAGAGTAAAGAGGAAAGCAAGTGTCACATAGGTAGACTAAGGTTTAGATTCTTACCTGTTTGGAGTTGGTTAAATACAATTTTGCTCCCAGATTTAAAATCTGCAGTTTTACCAGATCATCTTCACTAGTGAAACTTTTAGCCATCTTCCTCAAAACATCAGGGGCTATCTTAGGAACTCGTTCACAGTTTTCTCCAATTAGCCAAAGAATACTTGCTCTAGCCACAGGAACCTAATATTAGAAGCAGATTATATAGTCACAAATAAGATAATCACACTCCCTCCTTGATGATAACATAGAAAAGGCTCTAAATATAATAAAGGTTTTATATCCATTCATGTAACATGTATATCCAGGAAGTGTACTTTTAGTTATGGATTTTCTTTAGTTATCAAAAAATAAACACCCAGGAATTATCACTAAAACTGATTTCAGAGATAATGCGCCTTAGAAAAGATTCATAGAGAAAAAAACCATTTGTCTAGAATCTTGATTCTACCATAGATGTGCAAGTCCATTCACATTTGTTTATGCATTACTGGTGTTGCTTTTGCCCTACAATAGCAGAGGTAATTACAGTCGAACCTTGAACAATACAGGTTTGAACTGCAGTGGGTCTTTATTTTGGATTTTTTTCAATAAATACAGTATAATACTGTAAACGTATTTTCTCTTCCTTATGATTTTCGTAACATTTTCTATTCTCTAGCTTATAAGAACTCGGTATGTAATACATGTAACATACAAAGTATGTGTTAATCAACTGTATATGTTATTGGTAAGGCTTCTGGTCAACAGTAGGCTATGAGCAGTTAAGTTTTTGGGGAGTCAAAGTTAAACCTGGATTTCTGATTGTAGGAGGAAGGGGGTTGGCACCCCTAACCCCTGCACTGTTCAGGTGCCAACTATTGTTGCATCAAAGACCATAAAGCTGAAAATATTCACTATCTAGCAATTTCAGAAAAGGTTTGCTGACTTCTGCTCTAGGGCTCTGGTTAATAAACCTCAATGCCCATAAAAAATCATCTAGAATTCTTACTAAACCTACAGGGTTTTGGTATCAGGTCCAAGACAGTAGCTCTGTCGTGGGGCCCAGGAATTTACATTTTATGAAGCATCACAGATGATTTCTAAGATGGGAGGTCTGCAAACCATGTTTTGAGAATCCCCTGGATAATAGAAAAAAAGGAATAGATTCATTAAAGACTATGATTCCAAATTAAAACTCTTACTGTCCTCTATATATTTGCACCTACAGTACTGGGGATGTATAAAACTGACAAGATCATCAAAGTCTACTTACAAAATCATGAATCCTGGTCTATTATTTGGTCATCAACAAAAGAAACAGGGATAAGATAAATGTGTCCAATATGTGGTATTTTGGCATTATATTTTTTAATAAAGTACATTTCAATATAATTTGTTTTTTTTTAAAAATTGCTTTGCTACAAATTGGAAACCTTCCATCAGCACCATTAAGACCAACATTTTAGAGTATGCAAATTAGTTTTATTACTATTTGTATCCTCTCTTACTCCAAAAGAGATTTGAAGGGGTATGTAAATTAGTTTTTGTGAACATTTTCACCTACTATAGAAAATCTGCTTTTTATAATAAATGAAAAAGCCAATGACTATCGTTAAAAGGAAGCATCACAAGAAGAGATAATAGTCTTTTTATGAAATCCTTTCCAATTCCTCAAATAAAGTCCTAATATTTTCACTACTGTTTCACAGCTATATAGGGCATAACTGTTAAAGAAGAAAGTGAGAATAAGGACCTTTGCACAGCTAAAATTTTATCACAATATCCACCACCTCAAATTCTTTCAAAACACCCATTTTATGAAATAGCATAAAATTATTAAGACACTCCTAAGTTGGGTGTTTCACCAGAAGCAAAATGAGGTCATCTGAAAGCTTTAAAATCAAAGTATATATTTTCAAAAATTATGACAATAGCATTATCTTTAAATTAATATTAGAGTAAGTTTAGTAAAAGGAATCACTGTATTCATGTAATAAGTTTACTAAGTATAAATATTCATATAATAATAAATGTTATTATGTGTATTCATGAAGTATGATAAAACTGATATCCTTACTGTACACTGATTGTGGAAAGAAAAAGGTTATTTCTAATGTTCCAAAGGTTACACTGCATTAAAACCTTACTCCCAATCTATTATTTTAAATTGGGCTAAAGAATAGTAATTGAGTGGTACATTAAATTTTCTAGCATGAAGCAATTCAAGTTGCCTGCCTTCATGAAAGGTACCTCTAAATAAGAATATATGCACAACCTCAGATTTTGGTTATGCTAGATTTACTTTTCTTAAATATTTTATTATATACTACTGGTATAAAATTTAGAATTCTAGGACATATTCCAACCTATGATCCTACTTTAAGTAATTTTCTTCTGGTAACAGAGTTATAATTCTTTTTTGCAATTAAGAAGACAATCTCAAAAAGTTTTAAGAGATTGTTTATTGCTTATATTCCTACTCATTAATATACAAAGATTAAAATAACAATATTTAAACACTCTAAACATTCATAATGCATACATTTAAAATACAACTCTGAGAAAAAATGAAAATCAATAAATTCTAATGCTCACAATGAAAATCTCAAAATGGTGGTGGTGGTGGACAGGGTGATATTCAGAGATTCTAGAACTGAGGTAATAAAATTTCCAAGTAAACATAAAAAAAAAACTTCAGAAAACTTCTCCACAACAAGAAATAATATCAATATAAAATGTATTTATACCAAATTCTTGATGATGGCAATTTATTAAAAAGCTTAGGAAACTGACAAACCAGTGTTTTTGTTTTTGTTTTTAAAGATTTTATTTATTTGACACAGAGAGACATAGCGAGAGAGGGAACACAAGCAGGGGGAGTGGGAGAGGGAGAAGCAGGCTTCCCCCGGATCAGGGAGCCTGATGTGGGGCTCGATCCCAGGACCCTGGGATCATGACCTGAGCCAAAGGCAGACACTTAATGACTGAGCCACCCAGGCGCCCCAAACCCAGTGTTTTTGTGTTTGACTGCAACCAGAATCAAGATTTTCAGATTCCAGCCCTACCTTTCTTTCCCAATTAAGTTACAAGACTCCCATTTGTACACCACTGATACTATGATTCATAGTATCACTCTTTCAAAGATTTAAAGCAAATGAAAAAAGAGCAAATCAGAAAATTAGTCACTTTTTGTTCTCCATGGTCTTTTCAATCACAGAATAAACAGGACCACTGAACTAAAACCAAACTAATAATACACATATACAAATAACATACATATGTATAAGACATACTTTTATTATGAACCTCTGCTTTTCAGTATTTTGAAAGACAAGCTGAATTGTAAATGACTTTGATTCTTTATTCTAAATGCCCTGATCAAGTGGTTTTAAGTGCACTTTTTAAACCTTCTACAAGAAGGCGGTTTCATTGTCTTTTAACCCATTAACTTGCCTGCAAAAAAATATGATTCCTAGCTGACCACAGCAGTTATAGAAAGACATCTAGGAAGATTTTAGAGATCACTCTCTAAGCAGTTCAATGTAAAAGCTATTGTGTTTCTTTCTTTTTTTTTTTTTTAAAGATTTTATTTATTTGAGAGAGAGAGAATGACAGATAGAAAGCACGAGAGGGAAGAGGGTCAGAGGGAGAAGCAGACTCCCCGCTGAGCAGGAAGCCCGATGTGGGACTCGATCCCGGACTCCAGGATCATGACCTGAGCCGAAGGCAGTCACTTAACCAAAGCCACCCAGGCACCCAAAGCTATTGTGTTTCAACACTAGCCACTGCACAATGCAACACCTAAAATAAATCCTACAACAACATCAATTTTATTTATTTAAATTTGTCAAAGGCAAAATCAGTCAACATCTAAATCAACTGCACACAACTAGCAAATCAGATCCAATATTCTGTATCTGGACTCAATATGCATTAACACTTTAGCATGAATTAAGTGGGGGCAGCAGGGCAAGGGTAGTTACCTTGCGAAAAGGCAGGCATTCAGTGGGGCACCAGGGCAAGGAGTACATAAAGTACTATTTTAGTATTACTCAGTAGTCTTCACAAAATAACATCCTTTAATTATTCTCTTATGATAGTAAATCCTTATCTGTCCCATAAAACATTATATGAAACTCTAATGGAGCAATCTTAATGTAGCATGCATTTTATTCTGGAAAAACTTTGCTTTAAAAGAGGTCTTTACTACACATGAAGTATAGTCCAAAGGATAAAATAGTCACAATCAAAATATATAAGTTGACTGTACTACCAACACAGATATATCTTATCTAATCTGAATTTAAAAAGTAGAATTAATTTAAATTTTAGTTCTCATATTTTCAACTATGCCACTTCATAAATAACAAATGGAATCAAAATCTTGAATATAAAAAAATCTAAGTTCCTTTTTTAAAAAAATTACATAACTAACATCTACTGAGTTCTTACAATATGCCTGGCACTGTTTTAAGACTTGACCTGTTTTCTCTCTCAGTCTATTATATAACACAAAGTCCTGAGAAAGTAGGCTCTACCATTATTCCCATTTGATATATGAGGAAACTGGGGCACAAAGGGGTTAAGAAACTTGCCCAACATCTTACAGCTAGCTTGTTGGTGGTGGAACTAAGACTGGAAGTCCAAGTCTGAATCCAGAGTTCACCATGGCCACTGGACAGAGACAAAATGAGTGTGCTGTACTAGGAAAAATACCAGCCAGCAAGGCAAGAAGACTGGTTCTGGTCCTAGATTGATCATGTATATCATGGAGACAAATAACTTCACATCCGTAGGCCTCATTTACTCATTAATCAAATGAAGGATTACTTCTTTGGCCCAGTTCTTCTGCCACAGTGTACAATGGCTCCTTTATGGCCTTCTGCAGATCTTCCAAGAGCCAGCCTTTTCAGAAGAGGTCTAGGCCTTTCTCTTGACAATTCCTGCATGCATGCATGTGGGGCATTTCCCCACCTCCTTAGATCTCTTGTTCTATGGATAAGATGGCCAGAGTGGAAAGAGATCTGGCTATCATTTTTGTTACCCCTCCTGGAGGGTAGATGAGCCCAGGATTCTACCCTGATAAAGCAGCTTATGCACTAAGAGAAAACATGCTCAAGTGTTCTTTTGTCCTCTGACACTATCCAGATTGGCTCTTTCTAAACAGCACTGGTTTAAGATACTACCTCTGGATATAGGGTGAAATATACAGAGATTCAGGAAAAAAAGGTTTCATTTCAGGCTCTCGGGCTTAGCCTCCCATTTTAGAATCAATCACTTACCCACATTTAAGAGTCATCAAGTGCTTGGTCACAATAAAAAGGCCTGTTTCCTTTTCCACATGTCTATTACGATTAAGTAAATAGCTCTCTTGAATATTTGGAGGAAACGGATTCTAGGGATTCAGTCACTCCCCTGTCAGTTATATCCTCACCACCTTCTTCTGGAGTAACTTGTACCTCCATTCCCTAATCATTTTTAGGATTGTGCATCACAAACTATCTTGCATTTTTCTTCCTTGTCCCACTTCAAGCACTTCAACTTCCTCAGATACATTAAGTAAACAGTAACAACTCATCACCTTTTAATTCTCCAAAATTTCAAATTTTTGCTATATGCCTGCATAGTTTTCTTATAATTATTTGAATCTCCCTTTAATTTTTATCATGCCTCGTAACTGAAATCACTGATTAATTCCCACAGTATTTTGACTAACTCTTGGGATTTTCTACATATAGGATCGTATCAACCTGTATCATATCCTTGCATTGCTCCTGATCTCAGGGGAAACGTTTTCTATTTTTTCCCACTGAGTATAATGTTAGCTGTAGGTATGTCATAAATAGCCCTTATGTTGAGGTATGTTCCTTCTACAACCAATTTGTTAAGGGTTTTATCATGAAAGGATGTTGTATTTTGTCAAATGCTTTTTCCTAACTCTATTCAGATAATCATGTGATTTTTGTCTTTCATCTTATTAGTGATGTACTGATTTTACTGATTTGTGTAGAGTGAACCATCTTTGCATCCAAAGGAAAAATCCCATTTGGTCATGGTGTATAATCCTTTTAAAGCGTTCTTGAATTCAGTTTGCTAATATTTTGCTGAAATTTTTTCCATCTATATTCATCAGAGATATTGGTCTACAGTTTTTTTTCTTGTGGTATCCTATTTGCTTTTGGTATCAAAGTAATGTTGGTCTTGCAGAATGGGTTTGGAAGTGTTCCTTCCTGCTCATTATTTTGGAAGAGTTTGAGGAGGACTGGTGTTAATTCTTTCTTTAAATGTTTGGTAGAATTCTACTCTTGGTAGGCTTTGTGTTTCTAGAAATGGCATCCATTTCTTCTAGATTGTGTAATTTGTTCGCATATAATTGTTTATAGTAGTCTCTTAAAATTCTATATATTTCTGTAGTATCAATTGTAATGTCTCCTCTTTCATTTCCGATTTTATTTATTTATTCTTTCTCTCCCTTAGTCTAGTTAGAGGTTTGTCAGTTTCGCTTATCTTTTCAGAGAACCAGCTCTTAGTTTTATTGATCCTTTCTATTACTTTTCTGGTCTCTATTTCATTTATTTCTGCTGTGTTCCTTCTTATTTTCCTCCTCCTGCTGGGTTTGAGTTTTAATTAAATCTAGTTCTTTGAGATGTAAAGTTAGGTCGTTCTTTGAGATCTTTCTAATTACTTAATATGTGTGTTTATTGCTATAAATTTTCCTCTCAAAACTGCTTTTGCTGCATACCATAATATTTGATGTGTTGTATTTTCATTTTCACTTATTTCAAGATAATTCTTTTCTTTTAACTTCCTCTTTAACAACCCTATTTGTACACCTTTTCACTTTCCTCTTATTGTTGATTTCCAGCTTCATACCACTGTGGTCAGGAAAGACAGTTGGTATGATTTTAAGCTTCCTAAGTCTGCTAATACCAAATGTACTCTCTTAATACCTACACCTCTCATACACAGTCTCTGAGAAGTCCTGGCTTTGATAATTAGAATCAATAATAAGAGTAGATATAAAGACAAAGGAACTCTAGTGAGAGACTTGGTGGGAGCTCAGATGTTAACAGACTCCTGTGAGTCTTATTCTTAGCTTTAAGATACACATATAACTGCCCTGCAAACTTTACTAACACCCCCAGGGAAAGAAAATTTTGCCACCAGAGATATTAAATATTGGTCCTGATGCAGGCTCCAAACCTTGCCTTAAACCACACAAATATAATCCCTCTGAACAGACTCAGAGTATACGTAGTTACCCCATCTTCAAAGAAGAAAATAATGTATTTCCCCCCTAAACTATAACCCTATTAGTTATAGAACATTAGTTTTAAACTTTAACCAACAAAGAAAAAAAAAAAACTTTAATCAACATTGAAGGGACGGACATAGTGAAGGGCAAACACAATGGAAAAGAGTTTGAGGAAAAACCAGAAAGAAGCCATGGAGAATGTTTCAAAAGGGAAGAAGCAGTATGTGAAGTCAAATGCTAACAAAAGATCATGAAAGACATCAACGGCAAATTATCCACTGTGTTTAATAAGAAGACAGTCAATGACCCTGGAAAAGGCAGTGTTAGTGGAGTGGTGAGGAGTCAAAATCAGACTGACACAGACTGAGGAGTCTGAAAACAGGAAATAAAATTAGAAAAAGAGAATGAAATAGGACCTAAATAATAATGACAGGAGACACTTATATAGTACCACTATGTGCCAGGAAATATTCTTAAGAGCACTATATATATTAACTAATGTAATATGTACAAAATATCAGGGTTTTTTTGTTTTTGCTTTTTTTTTACTATCACCATTTTAAGATGGGAAAAGTATGGAGATTTTAATGTAAAAGCACAAAGTGGGTAAGTGGTGGGACAAAGATTAATATTTATTTTTTAATTTAATTTTTTAAACACAGTTTCAGATTTCTAGAAAAGCTGGAAGAATAAAAAGAACTTCTGAATACTCTTCACCCAGATTCCTCGTATGTCATCACTTTACTACATTTGCTTTAGTTTTCTATATATACACAAACACTGTTTTCTAAATTGAGGAAAGTTGTAGACTTACCCTTAAACATCAAAATACTTCATTCAAACTTTGTAATAAAAGGAATGCTCTTTGTATTGCTACAGTAAAATGATTTTAAAATTAGGAATTTAAATACTGAACCAATACTATTACCTAATGTACAGATTTTAGTGAGATTTTGCCAATTATCCCTACCAAATCCTACCAAATCCATTAGAGCAAAAGAAAATCTAAAAATATGTGGTGCATAGAGTTGTCCTATCCTTTTAAACTCTCTTAATGGGAAAAAGTTCCTGAATTTTTCTTTACATTTCATGATATCGGCATTTTTAAAGAGTACAAACCAATTATTTTGTAGTATATTCTCATTTGGGTTCGTCTCATGTTTCTTGATTATATTCAAGTCATTCACTTTTGGCAAGAATTCAACAGACCTGATGCTAACTTCTATTCACTATATTATATCAGAAGGTGTTTAATCCCATTGCTGGCAATGTAAACTATGTTCATTTGGTTCAGGTAACACCTGCAAGATTTCTCCTATTGTAAAAATCAAAAGTCATTAATTTATGCTTTGTAATTAAGTATCTTATGAGGATATACTTTGAAACTGTACAAACATCCTATGACTACTCAACTTTCACTCCCTACTTTTTACCATTTGTTAATGATTCTTACCTCAATCTATTATTATTGTGATGGCTTGCAAGTGGTGATATTCTAATTCCATCATTCCTTCCACATTTACTAGTTTTGCATTGTAAGAAAGAGCTTCCCTTTCTCATTCATTCATTCATCCATCCATTCATTCATTCCAGTGTGGCCTCAACAGATTCTTACTTTATTCAATAGACCATAATCCTTTTACTATAATTTATTTTGTTTTCCAAAGTGGCCAGTGGTTGCCCCTTCAAGCTGGTTTTTGTGTCTTTTTGACACATCTCTATCATTCTGTGAGCATCTCCTTGCTATTTTTGCCCAACAAGATGTTCCAAGATCATCTTGTTCCTTCCTTGCCCTAGTTCTAAAATCAGCCATTTCTCTAAGCAGCCCTGGTTCCTTCAAGGGGTGAATGAAATTTAAAAACCAAGGTCTACCAAAAAAAGAAATGCAGTTACTACATTCTAGAACATGCACAAACCTTGAGAACATGCTAAGTTAAAGAAGCCAGATACAAAAGACCATTTGATGATTCCATTTATATGAAATGTCCAAAATAAGCAAATCCACAGAGACAAAGTAGATTAGTAGCTGACAAGGGCTGGAGTAAAGGGAGGATCAGTTTGAGCCATGGGATTCTTTTATTGGAATGATGAAAACGTACTGCAATTACACAGTGGTGATGGTTGCACAACCTTATGAATATACAAAAAACTGCAAAATTATATGAGTACGTTTTATGGTATAAAATTATATACCTCAATTAAAAAAAAACAAAACAAGATCTAGACACTAGGTGTGCTCATTTGTATTGGGCATTACTGCATGCAGACCCTCTCAAAGAAATAGAGGTTTGTATACTCAACACATGCATTCGTATGTGTACACATAAATGTGTGTAGACACACACACACATGCATTTACACACACACACGCATCTAGAATTTATAAACCCATGAAGTTCACACTGATATCTCCATTTCCAATCTAACACTGCAGCATTTATTGCATTCTTCCCCTTTTTCAGATTTGTAATTCCCTTCCACAGCACTGTAAAATCTTAGAACCAGGATGTGAATCCAGACAGTTAAGCTCTCTTAGCCACTATATTTCAAGATGTCCATTTATTTCCACAACACTATAATTTATTGACTAAAATCCAGTTAAATTCAGAAAGATCTCTTAACTGGTACTCACAGTTATACTGTCCAAGAGTTTAGCCATATGTTTAATAATTTCACCATGTTGTACAGGTTGCATTTGCAGTAATTTCTTAATAACAACCACACTTTCAGCAACAACTATTTCTGAAAAAGAGAGATTATTCATATTAAATAGGCATAATGCAATTCAAATGCAATATCCTTGGTAAAATATGAATTTAAGTCAGCAAAATATTCTACATGTCTCAGATAACTAGGTGAAAACCATAATCACGAGTATATTTCCAAACTTTGGGGGTGAACACAGTCTTAAGCAGAGGAGTATACTTTAATTTTTAATTTCTAACTTCTGTTGTTGCCTCCTAGCTTCTGATATCCCCTTCCAATAACTGCCTCTTTGAGTCAGAAAAGCAACGTGAGGTTAGATTTTGCTGCTCGCCATAATGTTCAAGTGTCTTTGGCTTTTAACTATAGCTTTCAAATAGTTGATTCCTACCACATAGTGGTAATCAAATAGTTACCATATGGTTCTTTAGTTTCTACCAATTACATAGTGGTAATCAAACACCACAACCTAAATAACTTTTTTTCCAATTCTAAAGAAAACAGCAAACTAAAACCAAAAATTTCCTTAAGTGATATGTTCAGAAAACAGTACTGAGGATCATTAGTCCTAAGAAAGGTGTTACTATAGAAATAGCACTGACTTCAGAGCCAGAAAGAGTGGCCTTATGTGCTGGATTGTCTCCATTTGTCCAGTGAATCCACTCTGTCTTTCCTGACTCATTCTGTGCCCTTAGAGGCTGACCTCTGCAGATTGCATCAACCAAACTCTCTTGTTCCTGGCTTCCAGCTATGGTTAGCTGATAGGAAGCCCCAGCAGGAGATCAAGGGGCAGGAGGACAGACTATTTGCTACCCTAGATCTCTCTACTGCCAGGTCTCCCGAGACCTGGCAGTGTGCATTCCTCTACTGATAGTTTCAGTTCTTCTGAATGGCTCTTGCCTACTGAGTCTGGTAAGTGCTCCCACTCCTCACACCCCTTCCTTTCAATTCTAGATATGCTAAAGGGGCTTCCCAGGTCGCTAGCTTATTAGCCCCAGGATGTTATATCATACCTTCTTGATTTCTCTTAATCCTGCCCACATCTTATAAATAGTTCCTTCATTAAATTCTCTTCAATCATCCCTTTTAAGTGTGCCATCTATTCTTGCCAGGGCCCTAACTAATATAATAATTGGTCCTGGGAGTGGCTCCAAGGAAGCAGATCCTGAAACTGGGATTCTGAGATTGAGTTATCACACTGAAGTAGCTAATCACTGGTCCAGAGTTACATTTTTCGTGGCACCATCAGAGAACTGTAATCCAATTAGTCAGAGCACCTAAACTTATGGAATGAATCTTACACAAACAATTATTAATGCTACTGATGCCAAATAAATAAGTCTACAATACCTCTACTTACCATTTTGACATTTTTTTATTAATAGGACTTCCTGGACATTAGAGATTCCCCTGGCATAGACTACAAAGTTTTATTTTAATATTACACTGGAAATACCATGACTTGTGTTATTATTTTTTTCTTTGAAGTATATTTTCTTATCTAGCTCCCTTTAAGAATACAAGTAAAATTTTTATCATTTTAATCATTATTAAACATACATGTTTCAAATTATCTCTTTCTCCAGTAGAATGACAAATTGATGGTTATACCATGCTTTAGTTTATGACATAAATATTTCTTTCTCTTCTATAGTAACATATGGTAGGTACCGTATTCTCATTATTTTAAAGATGAAGAAAGAGCAATGTACTAGCATTATATGACTTTGTCCAGAATTCAGAATGTACCATTTCATCTCTAAATTCTAAGTTAAGAGGTACAGCTATTACTTATATAAAGACCACTGCTTTGAGCTTTGATGAAAACAAAGATTAAGATCCTGACTTTGCCAAACCTATACTCTAGTAAGAAAAATTAAAAGTAATTACTATGCAAAGTAAAATATGGTAAGTGTGCTTTTAAGAATCCATAGTATAAAATTTTTTATTTTTAAAATATATTATTGCAAAACTAGACCAAGAAAAAAAATTGTATAATTTTAATTATACACATGGAGAGGCAGCATTGGCTACAGTTGAAAAATATATTTGGCATCATTTATCCTTTGATGCTATATTACTTTCCTAGTGTTATAAATTAGCACAAACTTAGTGGCTTAAAACAACATAAATTCAGCATCTTACAGTTCTAGAGTCAGAAGTTAACAGCTTAGATCTTATGGGGCTAAAAGCAAGATGTCAATAGGGCTACCTCTCTATGGAGGTTCTAGGAAAAAGTCCATTCTTTGCCTTTTCCAACTTCTACAGGTTGTCCACATTGCTTGGCTCAAGGCCCCGATCTTGCAATGGCATCGCTCCAATCTCTGCTTCTGACATCTGACTTTCTTGACATCTCTCCCTCCCTCAAAAGGACCCTCTTGATCTCCATCTCAAGAATCTTAGTCACATCTGCAAAGTCCCTTCTGCCATGGAAGGTAGCATATTCACAGGTTCTGGGCATAAGAAACTGGACTTCTTTGGCAGGGGTCATTATCCTGCTTACCCCAAGTACCCTCTCATCCCCTCACGTAATTCCACCCTACTTTTCCTTTATGCTATCTCCACTTTTTCAAAGACCACAGGACTGTGGTGCTGCTCTACCAGAAGCACAAAATGATCCTGTGTTCTGGACCTTTCCTAACTTCCTCCTTGTCCTTAATAAAACTTAAGGGTCCTTACTCAAAGAAATACAGCCTACTATTTTTTTCAATTTAACTTTATTTTGGTAAGAACACTTAACATGAGATCTACCCTCTACCAAACTTTAGTTACAACACATTATTGTTGATTATAGGTACAATGTTGTACAGCAAATCTTTAGAGCTTATTCAACTTAACTGAAACATTATTTTTGCTGTTTAGTAATTCCCTATTTCCCTTTTCCACCACCCCTGGCTACTGCCATTCCACTCTCTCTGATTCTACGAATTTGACTATTTTAGATATTTCACACAAGTGGAATCATTCAGTATTTGGCTTTCTGTGGCAGATTTATTTCACTTAGCATATGTCTTCAAGGTTACTACAGTCTACTATTACCCTCATTTTGCAAATGAAGAATCTGAAGCACAGGGAGATTGTGTAATTTATTCAAGGTAACATTAACGTTCAAACATAGGTAGTCTAGTTCTGCATGCAAGCAGATAGCTCCCAACAGAGTAAGTGGTCAATACACAGAAAACTATAACACACTTGTTTTATATTACTTCTCTCTTCATTAGGCTGAATGAGTATCTTATTCCTCTACCCAACATTTACTAAATACCCCAATGTATTCAAGTTCTCAATAAATGTTTACTAAATTATATAAAACTAAACGAAACAAAAAATAGTCCTCTGCCCCAATCCTTTTAGTTTACAGTAGACGGTAAGGTTATTCAGACAAGCAAATTTTGCTAATATGTTACCTGAAGTAAATTACCTTAGAGAATTAAATTATGCTAAGCCAAATGAAATGCAGATTTCTCATAAAGGTCCTTGAAAAATTTGTCAAATTAATCTCAGATAGTGATATTGAATTATTTTAGGCAAGCTTCAAGTCTGCCTAGAAAAGTCCTCTCCATGTCAAGAAGGGAGAAGTCAATTAAAACTTAAAAAACACACACACAAAAAAAACCACAGGTCTAAAAACAATGTGTTAAATATATGTAAAAAACAATGGAGCCTAAATGCTGCCCCTAAGGTTTTAAGATACATTATCTGAACAGATGACCAGATATTTGTATTGACATAAAATCAAGAATCACAGATCCTTAGAGCTTTAAAAGATCCTATAGAAAGATCCTAAAGAAACTGAGGCCTCATTCTAGATACCTATTCCTAAGAGCAGATATTTTAATGGAAGAAAGGAGCTATGTGGTCAGGATTGACCATTTAAAGTTAAAAATATTATTACCTTCTTTAATGCTACTGATTTTAATATAAATATTCTCCTTATTTGTTTTACTACTTTTAATGAGGTTTCCAAACTACAAAAGTATAACTCATATGAAAAAGAATTAAAGAATCGGAGACTATAGGCTAGTGATGATTATGCAACCCAAATCTGGACAATACAATTTAAGTTTCTAAATATTCAAACTGCAGGAAAAAAAGCCATTGTTATAATGACGGTTTTGACTTACCAAAAACAAAAGCCTAAACATCAAAATATCAGAGTTTAAATTAGTAAATCTTCCTACTTTTAAGAGTGAATATAGATTATATTAATATCCCATCACCTAATTACAAAACAATCTATTCTTCCCTTCAAAGTGCTACCAGAGTAGAATATTCATCTTTTAAATCAAAGTCAATAAAAAAAATTTTTCAAGAAATTAATACATTACAAAACTAAAGTAGAGATAATTCCTTTACAATCTACAACTTGAAAATTTCACATGCAAAAAAAGGTCAAAAACTAAAATTCAGAAACCTTGAATATATTTCGTATTTAAAAGAACTAGTGAGTATTCTAATTGTAGTACTTTTTGTATGCAATGAAATTTTAAAAGAATGATTACCCTGGTAAGTCTTGGTTCATAATCTTTAATGTTCTGGAAATATTTTCCCAAGAAATGTGTCATATATAATTGAATAGAAAATCATTATTAAGATACAGGAAATAACACATGTTTTTCAAGTCCCATTTTAAAATGTGACAAAGAAATAGAGACAAAAAGGATGAAAGTAGAAACAGGTAAAATGAATGACATTTAGCATCCTAATCTCCTCTAGTTACCTTCTACAGTCAAATATTTAAAAAAAAAACAACCTATTTCCTTGATAATTTTTGTTGCCACTTAGTTTTAATACTGCATGTAGAAAAATGTTCTATCCATCATATTATCTTGAGTTTACAGGATTAAAGTTTCTAATTTTATGTTCAAAATAAAAAAAAATCACTCTTAATTGGGCTAAATTTTGTTTTAGTTTTTTCATTAGAAGTAGTTATCACAATGGTATAATTTTCTAAAGAGACCTACATTTGGGAATTGATAATTAGGGATAAGAGAGTAACTGTAGTGAAAATACAAATAATATAAATAGAATATAAATATAATCAATTTTCTTATGTTTCAACTTATGTTTGCTATGTCCTATATGCTTATGTCTAAATATGACATAATTATACTTAGAATTCCACAAATCATTTCAATGATTTTACACAGATTATTGAGATTTTCCTAAAAAGAATCTGTTTTAATCAAATATATAACAAAAATCTTCTACATAAATTATTATAAAGGTGAAAGTTGACTAATAGTAATCTTTCTCCAAATGGTTTTACTTATTCTAAAGCCATACCACAGAAATAACTGACACTTTACCACAGAAGAGTATGAAATCTAGATTACGCATTTTACCAGTTATCACCTATCCAGTTTTACAAAACGTTTAGATGTTGTTTAGCTTAAAAACACAAAGCTGTTGCAATCTGATGACTTTTAAATTGAGTTTAATATCGAATATAAAATTATTAGATGAGTTTCTGCAAAAAAACTTTGAAGGTACATAATAAACATACTTTTTTGATCTAGCTACTTCTCCATGTTATAGTCATTTGCCTGCTTTTAGCACCCTCTGCAGGTGAACCAATATTATACATGACTTATATGTCACTAAAAGTAAAATAGAACCTTTGTGGAAAGGGGATAATGAAGGTGATTAAACTGTGAAGAAATAAACAAATTATACTTTCTCAGTTCTATTTAGGAAATACTGTTTGGAAGTTTATTATCTAATTTACTAAAACAACACAAAAGTGTGTGTGTGTGTGTGTGTGTGTGTGTGTGTGTCTTTGTATTTCAAGGATAAAATGCTACTCTCATCATGACCATGCTACTGACATACAGGAAATACTAAAATGCAATGTTAAAAAATGTTACAATTTGAAGATCATGCCAAGAATACTCAAATGATAAATTACTTGAAAATAAAATGAAACTGTCAACTTACCATCTCTGTTGGACAACAGACATACCAGGCCGTTGAGGCATGTATCAGTGACTTCTGAGATGTTGGTTGCACATCTGCCTATAGTTTGAATAGTGGCTGCTGCGAACTGTTTATCCTGGCTTTTCACATAGGTCTAAAAAAATATTTCAATTAGTTTATACTTTGGTACCATCAAGTGAACAAAAAGGTATATTAAGCTTTATCAAAAATACAAATTTTATAATATATAATATTCTCATTTATATGCACAATAGGTCCAACTGATGACTTAGCTTAATTTAATTTAGTTTTTTTACTTAAAGAATGTGCCTGTAGAAGAGGCACATTTTCAAGCCAGGTTCATTCACCTGTGACCACAGAGGCTTGTGACTCCAAAACAGATAGTGGGGAGCAGTCACCCAAAGACAGCAATTAGTTTAAGTGCAAGGTTGAAAGAGATGATGAGAACTCTCTCTTTGGAGGTTTCAGTTCATTTAACCAGCAGCATCTGTGAATCTATGAAAAAAAGGGTTGCTTTTTCAGAGACACTAAATCTAAAGTTGGAAGAAGAGGAGGAAAAGGACAAATATACTAATGACAAACATTTTCAAAATGTTATCTGAATGGTGGTAAAACTATACAGCTACAATGAGCAGTATATCAGTAAAGACTTTAAAAAACTCAGTTTGTAACAAATTACCATACTTTTGAAATAGATTTTCTTTAAAAGAATGTTTTTAAAAACATACTGTAAACTATGTGTTTATATAAACTTAAAGAAATCACTGATTTAACAACAGAAAGTTAAAGGATCTTTACAAAATTTAATACAGCCCTCAAGAATTTCACTTTGATTATAACTTTCCGAATTTAAAAACTGAGCTTTTGTTTACAAAAATAAATATACTTTAAATATGCATATTTATATTTATATATTATAATATATGCAAACAAAATTTAAAATCCCATTTTCAACTGCATTTTTATTATTTATTTATTTATTTTTAAGTAGGCTTTATTCCCTATGTGGGGCTTGAACTCACGACCTTGAAATCAAGCGTCACATGCTCTACTGACTGAGCCAGCCAAGCATCCCTCGACTGCAATTTTTTAAAAAGATTCCCAACCTCAAGAGACATACTTAATGTAGAATTAACACTATGGTTATTTAATGTGCCAAAAAGGATGTACATTTAAATGGTGCCAAAATGACAAATGGAAGAGACAATCTAAGAATATCTAAAATCATACAAATTTTGTGAGAATAGTACCAAGAACAGGATTAAATACTGAAGAAATAAGTTACACAAATTCTCTTAGTTCCATGGAGGAAAGATCAATTGTATTTAAACCACTTCTCAGTTGATGACCTAATTTCCTCACTTAGAAAAAATATGTCTTTAGAAAAATTCTCTATTTTACTCAAAAAGTTATTATAAGTAAGCTGTACATACCTATAAACATAACTCATAAACCACAAAAATGAGGTATAAATATTGACAGTGATAAAAGTGGATAAAGAAAGACTGTATTAGAAAGTCTAACTAAACGATGGACCTTATTAAAAATTCTGATACTCGCAAACAATGAATCATGGAACACTACATCAAAAACTAAAGATGTAATGTATGGTGATTAACATAACATAATAATAAAAAAAATTCTGATACTAATTGAAATGGCTAGATCACCAATATTTTGAAATAGGTCCAATGTGTCGCCTCTGTATAACTAAACAATGCCATAAAATTGCCTGAGATTCACTGCCTACATCCCCCACTAAATCTGACCTAAGCAGGAAGTTGATACCAAAAGGACACCCAAACAGATTACCTACAATAAGAAAAGGGACAAACACAAACACTGAGACAAAAATTAAAAACTTAAAAAAAAAATAAAAGCAAACTTATAAAAATGACGTAAAAATCAAATCCAAGCAATGTTCTATAGCCATGGATTACTGGATAAAAACTTGAGATACCCTATATTTTCTGGCATATATAAATATAAGATGACTGGGTATCCAAAACACCCTAATTTTTTTAAAGTATTTATTTATTTTGTGGAGGTGGGGCAGAGGGAGAAGGAGAGAAAGAATCTTAAGCAGGCTCCACACCCAGTGCAGAGCCTAAAATGCGTCTCCATCTCACAACCCTGAAATCATGACCTTAGCCAAAATCAAGAGTTGGATGCTTAACCAACTGAGCCAATCATCCTAATTTTACAAGGAATTCTAGAAAAATACACAGCATGACAGTAGAGCAATCCAGTTATAAAATTAAAAATTATGGACATGCTATAATATTCTACTACTCCTGTTAAAAGTATAAGATCACACAGTTAAAAAAAATACAATATCTATTTAGCTAAAATGAAATTTAATATGGGTATAAGGGAGGATTATAGCAACAAAATAAAATCTGTAAAAGTTGGGAGTTAAAAAAAACTGTGATTTCTGTATAGTGTGTGGTATATTTTTACTAAGAAAACTGCTGATGAGGTACAAAATTTATACCCTCTACCACGAAGTTTCCACAGCTGAACCCTCCATCTTAAAGGGCATATATCCATGAGATGATTTTTGAATAATATTTTTTAAGGGTGTGTAGCTGGCTGGGAGGCACCTCATCCTTAAGGGTTAATGGTTTTAAAAAGGACAACAACACAAAACAAAAACAATGATAAAATCATGACAGAAGCAATTTTAGACCAAAAATACATAAAGCTATCTAAAAGAGTAATAAACAGGATTAACTAGGTAAGAAGTGAAGCCACTTTCATGAATGCAGAGTATGGAATGGACTAGTGATGATGACAGCACAGAGACATGGAATCCTTACGAGTAACATAATTAAAAAAAACAAAACAAAACAAAAATAGTTATAACCCAGTCTTTCAAATTCTATGAAAACATGAAAGGGACTACTATTTCATTTCCCTTAAATTTTAAATTTGTACTTAATGTCTCTTCATGAAAATTTATAAATTTCTTAGTTCTCAATTTGTCCCAAATCACTGTTTTACTTAACACAATTACCTATTTGTAAATTGAGGAAGATGTATATTTGACTGTAAACTAAACAAATGTTTTAGAAGTTATTTTATAATCAGCACTGCATACATACCTGAAATTCTCGGAGAAGAGTTGATATGTTGGCTTCATTTGCCAAGTTTGTCAAAATTTCAAGCTACGGTAGAAAAAAGAGAGAGTAACATTGTAAAACACAAAGAAAAAGGATTAATTTAATAAAGACTAGGCATTTAATAGAAAGGTAATTTTTTTTATTAACATATAACGTATTATTTGTTTCAGAGGTACAGGTCTGTGATTCTTCAGTCTTACACAATTCACAGCGCTCACCATAGCACATACCCTCCCCAATGTCCATCACCCAGCCACCCCATCCCTCCCACCCCCCACCACTCCAGCACCCTCAGTTTGTTTCCTGAGATTAAGAGTCTCTTATGGCTTGTCTCCCTCTCTGGTTTCATCTTGTTTCATTTTAGAAAGGTAATTTTTGTTTTTAAAAAGTCACACTGTTACAAATGTTGTGAGGCATTATGCCCTTCTGGTAAATTCTGTCTTCTTAACATCTCCAAATAGAGAACAGGTAATTACATAATGGTTAAAAACAATTAGGAAAAAGAGAATCCTACATATTCCCTGTTTGTACCCAACTTTACAACTTATATCTAATTAACCTGAACAATTTAAGGTAGTTTGGCACTTTTTTTTCCTTTATTAATAAAGTTAGAAAACAACTTGCCCTCCATGTAATACCTCTGTTTTCCAGATACCAATTAATTCTCTTGATTTGTTCTCATTCAACCTACCATCCCAAATACTCGGGACATTTTAATTCTCTCTTCTGGATTCATAGTTATAAGAATATACAATTAAAAGTCTATCTTCAATAGGCTCACTAAAAAAGTTTCAGTTCTTCCTCATAAAAAATATTCAAATAATCTGAAGGAAAGCATGAAAAAGGAAAAAAGGATGGGACAGACGGAAACCAGAACACAGGATGTATGCGTGGGACACACAGTCGTATCAGAAATTACATTAAAAATAAACGGTCTAAACACTCCAATTAAAATGGATAGATTGCAGAAGTTCTTTATATATTTTTACTAATCATTTTTCAGATATATATATTGGGAATATTTGTTTCCCAGATTACGACTTCAGTTTGCATTTTATTTTGATGAAAACATTTTCATTTTTTATATAATTTTTAAAAAACAATCTCAAACATATAGAAAGGGTAAAAAGAACTATTTTGATGTGAATCATCTGAGAGTTGCCAATCTGACACAGATTGCTTCTTCATCCCCAAATGCTTCTGTGTATATTCCCTACAAACAAGGACATTGTCCTAGAGAACACAAGAGAACCAAGAAAATCAAGAAATTACACTTTTATACATACATCCATGCAATCCTCACTCCCTTTTAAGTTTCATTAATTATCTCAATAATATATAATAAAAGGATCCAATTCAATATCAGACATTGTATTCAGTTTTATCTTTAGTCTCCTTTGGCCTGAAAGTTTCTCAATCTTTCTTTTGACCTTCACAACCTTGCATTTTTGATGACCGCAAACCAAGTATTTCCGAAAATATCCTACAATTTGGATGTGTATTAGATTTCCTTACAGTTAAACCCAGTTTCCATGTGAATAGCCAATCATCCCAATATAAGCTGAAAAGTGCATCCTTTCCACACTGGTTTGTAAGGTCTCCTCTATTATACAGTACGTCTTCATATACGTGGATGTCTCCACGCTTTCTATTCTATCCCACTTATTCTTCTGTCTAAATATCACATTATTCTAATTATCATAACTTTATATCCCTATGTTCTCTAATGTAGTTATTATTCCCTGAACACAACACTCTTTCATAATCTGTTAGCATAAACTGCTCCTTTCTCCTACTCCAAAACCCTACAACCACCTCCCATTCAATCTACCAAGAACAAAAAAATTCACAAAAATCTTATTCTTTTAAGATCCACTCAAACATCAACTTTTCCACAAGTCCTTTCTAAATCCTAGAGAATTAACCCCATTTTTTGGTTCTGCACAGTACTCAATTCAAATCTCTATAATATCACTTAAAAAACACATAGTACTGAAATTGTCTGTCTGTGCAGTATACAAATTCAAGGTGCAGGTAGCATGTATCAACTTTGTATTATTAGGATGCAGCAGTGACTGGATATAATAATAAAGTTTAGAAAGTATAAAGAAAATCCCTAAATGTATCTGTGTTTTTGAAAAAGCAGGTCTCCATTTTGCAGATGCTAGAAGCTACAGCAATATCTTCAAAGTAAAGATGTACTAAGGGTACCTGAAAAATAAAAGCATGCGTACCTTCAGTGTCTTGATCATAGTAGGATCAGTTGACCGAACATAGAAACTCTTCAGATAAGGTTCAAACATACCCTAGATTATAAAAAGAAATATATAAATACACTTTTGGTACTAATGCATTCATTTCTCTCTTGGATTATGTGTTTACTATGTACATACCTTTCTTTGAATTGACATAGTTGCTATGTTCTGTAGGACAATATATTGCACCTCCCTAAAAATTAAAGGAGAATTTTCATTGGATATATTTTCCAATTAAGCATCTTTATGTACACAGTATATTAAACAAAAAAATCAGCAGTAAGTTTCATACTGAATTCAAATGTTAAAAAGGTTTTAGTAAATGAGATATTTATGTCTTCTTTTTAAACACATTTTCCTATGAACTACTTATAAATAAGATTTGATTCATCATGATTAAAAGTTAAAGCCTATTTTACAATACTGTATTCCTAAGATGTAAAGCCAATACTACAGCTACTCTGAACACATGCAAGGAAGATATTCTTAGGGCTAACAGAATAAACATGACCATAGCATTAACATAAACTCTTGATCAGATGCTCATTGTGTCACTCAGTTCTGACCAGAGTGAAAAGATAGATTAAAAAAAAAAAATTCTGTTATTTTATGTCCAAATATCTAAGGTAGAAGTGAATCTGGTATAAAGTTTCATGTGAAAGATGCATTCCAGAACCTTCTGACAACCTTTGAATGAGTTACAGGAAAGAAAAATTAATGAACTGAGAAAAAGGAAAAGAATGACCATGTATAAAGACAGGAAAGATCAGGAACACAAAGGCTCTCACTAAGGAACGGCAAAAGTCAGTCTAGGGCTAAGTAGCTGTGGCACTAAGGTCATGTTACAGGCAAAAATAAACATGCATTTTTCCCCCAACTCTATTAGCAGAAGTAAGTACTCAGTGAAAGAAATATTAAATTTAGAGTAACTAATTATAACAAAATATTCAGGGTAAGCTAAATAGCTGAAACTATGTTGTAATTCTTAAAACACAGAAAACAAAACAATGACAAAAATCTGATTTTAAACATTGCCAAAATATTTTCAATCTCTTTGGGCTTGAGTTTAAAAGAAATTTTATATTTATCACGAACTTAGAGATAAAATGTGTAAAGGCTTGTATGATGATCCCTTAAGTATGAAATCTTATAGGTAGAACACACAGTCATGTAATACATGTCTGAAAGACAGATTATATTTGTTCAAACATTACTTTTGAAGGAATACAAAAGAAAAAACAAATAAAATCATGACCTACCTATTACTACGAAGTAAACGCACTAGTGATTTAGAAATAATGCCAACTTCAGACTTTGGTGATATGTGCCAATACAGTTGAGCAACTGCCATTACCACCTAAAAGATAAAGCATGAAAACAGCAAGAACTATAAACATGGGAGCACTCTACAGTTTCAAAGTACATTCTCACATATTGTTTACTCCTACAAAATTCCTATGAAGTAAGATGAATATGTTGTTACCCTTCGAAGCAGGATGAACAGTGTCCTCCCAAGAATTCATGTCTACCCTCAGAATGTGACCTTACCTGGATAAAAGTCTTTGCAGATATTATTAAGGTAATGATGGAGATTGAGATCACACTGGATTAGGGTGGGCCCCAAATCCAGTGAGTGTCCTTATAAAAGACAGAAAAGAACACACACAGACACAGAGAAGAAGCCAATGTAAAGATGGAGGCAGAGTTTATTCCCTGGAGTGATGAATCTATAAGCCACTGCGTGTGGAACTGCGGGCAGCCACTAGAGACTAGCAAAAAGCAGTTTCTCCCTTAAAGCCACCAAAAGGAACCAACGATCCTTTGATGCCTTGATTTTGGATTTCCACTTTCTCACTAAAAAGTGAGAAAATACATTTCTGTTGTTTTAATTCACCTGGTTTGTGGTAATTTGTTATGACAGCCCCAGGAAATTAACACATCCTTGGAAAAGAAAACAGATGTTATCAGAAAACATGTTAAATGAACTACCCAAAGTCTGCCAGTCAGTGCATAGATAGCAAAGCTTTACATAACACTCCAAACCCCAGGTTCTCCTTAACACTGCTGCTGTTGCTCTGAGATTGGGAATATTTTAAAAGTTGTAAGTATGCCTTTCCAAATGAAGCCTAGATACTTCTGGAAAAGTAACAAGTAAGCTGAAAATGTTAAAAATGAGTACACTAAAATTATAATTAAATGAACTCTACTACAACAATTAATCTAAAACAGCAGCATTTGAAATAATCTTTTTTTTCAAAATACAGAACCTTAAAAACAGTCTTTGCTTCAAAGCCTGAGAACTTCTGTCATAAAATAAAAGATTTTTTTACTATGTTTCCCCTACATGCCTCTATACTTAGATCCAGAGATCAAAAGTCCAAACTGAAAAGTGATCCAGTTTAACCTGTGACAAATGCACAGAGAGAGCTATAGTAGTTATATCATCTTGACTTTAGCTCAGAAAATGTATTAATACTACTTTACTTCTGCTTGTTCTGTAAAGTGCTAACAAATATATGGCAGGAGTTTTATATATGTTTAAAGAGCATACAGCAGCTGAGGGTGCTTGAGATAAAAGGAGTTCCTTCCAAAACTAGGAAACATTTTTAAAATTTTTTTATTCTCTTTATTTTCAAGAAACATTTTTTTAAAAAATACAGTTCACAGAGTCCCAAATTTACTGTTGTTTGGCACTTTGCTGTATTTTTTTTTTTTAACAAGGCGGATTTATAGCTTTCAGATATTACTTGGGAATTTGAGGAACCTAAGGATATTTTTTCACTTGTGATCCACAAATACACTGTAATTATAGAACAAACTTACCTGAATTTAAAATCTTGTAAAATTAAGGGAGCCTGGGTGGCTCTGTCAGTTAAGCATCTGCCTTTGGCTCATGCATGATCTCAGGGTCCTGAGACTAAGCCTCATGTCAGGCTCCCTGCTCAACAGGGAGTCTGCTTCTCCCTCTGCCCCTCCTCCTGTCTCATGCTCTCTCTCTCTCTCTCTCTCTCTAGCTTGCTCTCACTCAAATAAATAAAAATATTTTTTAAATGTTAAAAAAATTTTTTAAAAAAATCTTATGAAATAAAATCTCTATGACTGACTTAATCTACAAGTAGGTGATAGTCATTTTTACAAATCTTAAAGCATACAGTTGGCTAGTAAGTATTAGTATATAATAGAAAAGAAAGTGAAACTTAATTGTAATGTATTTTACAGAAATTAATTAAGCCCCTTTCTATTAAAAATAGTCCGATGCTACTGGCAAGAAGGTAAACTGTACTTTCTATACATGTCAATGTTTTTAAGATTCTAGATGCCACTCAGTACGTCATCTCTTCTAATATATTAATTAGGGCACTCCCTCAAGCCCACAAGGGATACATACTCTTCTTTCCCCCTAGTATTTACAAATCTAAAAGTTTAAAATTTCTTCCATAACCAGAATTTGAAATTTATAGTCTAATTTGTAAAAGCCAAGAGGGAAATTCCCATATCTCCAAAGTCCAAAATGACTAAAATATACAAATAGATAGGCCTTCTACAGTTGAATCATGTGCATTGATGATGAAGTATATCCTATAAGCACTTTTCTATTCCTACCTACTCATACCACTGTCACCTTATCTACAGTTAGAACAGCCTCCCGACACTCTGCTGCCAATGTCCCTTATCTCCAATTCAATCTACACAGCACTGACCAAGTTTCCTGAAAAAAATTCTCAAAGTCTCTCCTTTAACTGTAAGGCTAAAAGAAGGAAACCTACTCACAGTCCTTCAAAAGTCAACCTTTATATGTATTTAGCAGCATCAAATTAGCAGGATAGCAAAATATATTGGGACAAAAAGTAAACTACCTTTATCTGGTACACAATCAAATAAGTAGGGAATCAAAACACACTGGGGAAAAAAATTCAAACTACTATTTGTTTCACCATTCAAGAACATTTTTGATCAGTAAGTATTTGGACTATAAAAGCAATTCCCAAGACAAAGATAAATAGTGAGTCAATTATAAAGAGAGTTTTAGGTGACAAGTTACAGCCACTTAAATACAATCTGGCTAAGCTGGGCTCACTGAAATATAACCATGTTTTACAACATTAGTCAAATAGCATTTTTTTATTACTGTGTATGATTATTTAATAATGATATAGAAACTAAATTATCAGGTATAAGATAAAAACTTCTGCTAATTATTAAGATACATAGGGCAAGCTCTAAGCTCTAAATTTGCAGGCATCAGAAAACTTAAAATAATTCAAGTAAAATTCCACATTTTCTAAGTTTTTATTAACTGAACAGAGCAATTCATTAAGAACATTTTTTAAATTAAAAATATTAAGAAAATGTTTTACTTGACTCCATCAAATGTTTAGATATAACTTCCAGTAAACAGGTAACACAGAGCACAGAAGAAAAAATTAAATAGCACTATGAAGTAAGCAAAGCGAAAACCCAGAAGAACATTTTGTTAAGACTTGAGAGGTTTAAGAGCTTTAACAACCAGGTACTATAGATACTGGTTTAGATTGCCTATTTATAAAAGATAATTTATCTTATTTATTTTTTTTTAGATTTTATTTATTTATTTGAGAGGGAGAGAATGAGAGACAGAGAGCATGAGAGGGAAGAGGGTTAGAGGGAGAAGCAGATTCCCTGCTGAGCAGGGAGCCCGATGCGGAACTTGATCCCAGAACTCCAGGATCATGACCTGAGCCGAAGGCAGTCGCTTAACCAACTGAGCCACCCAGGCACCCCTATAAAAGACAATTTAAAATAAATTGGTATTAAATGAGATGAAATTTTACTGAAAAAGAGAGGACTATAGAGTAGGGAAAAAATGGTTAAAAAAGTACTACGTACAGTATGATTTTTACCTTGGTTTAAAAAATATGTATGTGTAGACAAACACACATGCGAATATATGTATATTTATGCAGAAAAAGGCTCTGGCAGAAAATGCATCACGACATAACAGTGATTTCTGAGTGATGGGAATATGATGTTTTAATTTCTTTAAAGTTTTGCTAGTCCCTATTTCCTAATTTTTTATTGTGCACATGTATTCTTCTAAAATATAAAGTGTATGTAAAACAAAAGAAAACAAACTCAGGACTCAAATGAAAATGATTTTTAACTGCTATTCCTACCAGTTAAAATTTATTAAGTATGTGGCGTTATGCTAGACACTTTCTTTATATGTTAAGTCTCTTAAAAACTCTTATTAGGTTCATCTGCATATTATGGAGATTAAATACTCTCAACTACAACCAAGTAACAGACAAATACGCACTGTCTTCCAATCCAATGAGAAACATCTTGAGCTCATATCTTAGGAAAAGCCAATTAACAAAACCACAAAAAAGTAAATGAAGTCCAGGAGGCATGTAACTACCAAACCAAGTAATCTCATCAAACCTGATTTTTTGGTGTATGATCAAATAAACAAACAAATAAATGCTCCATTAGCACACTGAAAAACTGTTTACTGAACTTACATATACTTTTAACCATGTTTAAAAAATCCATAAATTATTTCTCATAAGGGTTTTAACATACCGCTGCATTCCTGCTCTGAAGCAAAGGCTTTGTATTCCGAATTAAAAGTCTATGATCTGGGTCCATATTATATGGCTTCTTCCTATGGTCAGTCTTTTCCTTCTGTTCATCATCAGATTCATAGAAATTCTTTTCATTGTCTTCTAAACCATCATCCTGTAAGAAATACAAAGAAAACTTTTTAACACCTATAATCATGATAGTATTTTACTGTAGAATACCACTGTTGAAAGGAATTTGAAAATATTATGCTACCTGTATAAAAGAAAGGCCTTGCTTTTTCTCTTATTTTATAACAACATAACTGTCCTTTAGTGCTATAAATAATACTTCTTTTATATTACATAGTAAACCTCTGAAAATATTAAATCCCCATAGATAGATCCATAACTGACCAAAGGCAAAACTTGACCATGAGACTTTACCAAAGAAGATTAGAAGATTACTTAAAACCTGAGAACTATTTCCATATATTATCAGTCACTCTGTAATTGGATCAACGGATCAGAACAAAGAGAACTGTTTCAACTGCAGCATGCATAAAAGAAATCATAATAAAACTTGACAGGTTAAAAACTAGTGATTAAGTACATCCCTGTGTTGTCAAGAAAGACTCAGTTTGATACTTAATGTATATCCACAGGGGGTGATTCTATATTTTTGCTTTGTACTTTTAATTTGAATTCATTGTTATCTCCGCCAATAAAATCTGCCTACAGGCATTTAGTCTTAAATATAAACAAACAAAAAGCATACAAAGACAATAATTTCTACCTAGATCCAATTCAAGGGCTGTTTAGAGGTAATTTTTATTACTAAGTACCTGAAACATACTTTTCACTTCTGAAAAGATGGAGCAGATGTACTTTTCCCTATTCCTCTATGTACAACTAGAAACAGGAGACATTATATATAAAATAAACTTAAGGAAAGGCAGAGAAGAAAGACTGGATATGGACCTCAGGACCCAAAGAATGAAACAAGAGAAGTTCCTTGGGTTTTCATTTTTACCACATATATCAAACACTGAGAAACTGAGTTCTAGAGAAGCTGGTAAGCCAAAAACACCAAACACAGATAAAACAAACCCTCCAAAAGCCTACTCTCTGTAGCCAAAAGGACCAAGAAAAAGAAAATCTATAAAGAGATTTTTTAGAAAGTAACTATTCTGGTACAGCTACCAATACAGAAAAAACTAAGGCCTTATTCCTAGCCTCACCAGCAAAGGCTGATGTGGGAGCCTAGATTTCCAACCTCCCCATGCTATAATGGGATGCCTCAATCATCCCACTGGAGTGATGTCAGAAAAGGCCGCCATAGCCAAGACTTTAATTCCCACCAGGAGGTAACACAGCATCCCCATGGTGTCAATGAAGACAAGGTGAGGAACTTGCACATCTAAGTCTGCCCATCAAGAACAAAGTGACCTTATCCTTTCCCACTGAGCTAGTGTAAAAATACTGAGTGGACACCCAAGACATAGCACCACCACCCAGTGGTAATAATGACATCAGTGGAAGAAACATGTGGAATAGTAATAAGCCATTTCTATCCCTCCCACCCTCACAACTATCAGGAAAGAATTACTGGGGAGCCAGAAATCCCACATTCACCCACAGTAACAGTGATTTCAACCTCCCTGACGTGTCAATGGAGGCTGAGTGGGGAAACTGGACTTCTACCATAACCTGGCAGTAATGAGGCAACATGTACCCTCCACCTTTCCCTAATGGAGTGGTATCAAACAAACCCAGCTAAAACAGAAGATCTGAATAAAATCTAGAATCTCATAATATCCAACACATCCAGGTTTCAATAAAAATCACTCATCATTCCAAGAACAAGGAAGATCTAAAACTGGATGAAAAAAGATAACCAGTAGATGCCAACACTAAAACAGGAATATTAGAATTATCTGATTACAATTTTACAGCAGCCATCATAAAAATGCTTTAATGAGCAACTAGGAACATCCTTGAAAAAACAGAAAAATAGAAGGTCTTAGCAAAGAGTTACAAAGTCTTAAGAAAGAAACAATATATTAAAAAAACCAGAAATGTTACAACTGAAAAATACAAGAATCAAAAGTAAACAATAACTGAGATCAAAAGCAGTATTAAGGGGACAAGGAAATCATCAATGATCTGAACCATAATAAAATATAAATTGCCCACTCAGAACAACAGTGAAAAAAACAGACTGAGGACAAAGAAAAAAACAAAAAGAAAAACATCCCACCTCCACCAAAAAACCCCCAGAACTTGGGGGACTTGTGGAATTATAACAAAATAACATCTCTTGTCATCTGAATCTTGGAAATAGATAAGAAAAAGGGTGGGGCTGAAAGAGTACTCCAAGAAATAATGGCTAAAAAAATATTACATTTGGCAAAAGAAATAAAACTACAGATTGAATAAGGTGAATAAACCCTAAACAAGATAGACACAAAGAAATCCATAACAAGACATATTAAGTCGAACTCCTGAAAACTAAAGACAAAGAGAAAAAAATCTGGAAATCAGCATGACAGAAATGACACTGGAGACGATGTGGTAATGAATCAGAGTGATTAGCGATGAAGATAAAAATATAAGATAGGTTCAAGAACTACGCAGAAGTTGAAATCAATAGGATGCAATTAGTGGATGTGAAGGATGAACTAGGAGCACTTAGTAAGGATGCCCCCATTCCCAGCTTGGATAACCAAGCAGACAATGATGTTACCAAGGTTAAGATAACCTTGTTAAGGGGGGGAAAGAATCTCTCTTTTTCAAGGCTTCTTGCTGCTATACAAACATCCTTAAAAGATAGTCCAAAACAAAACTTACCAATACCTTTACTCAGAAGAGCTACAAAAATGAAGAAACCCCATGAAGAACCATTTCCCAGTATTTTCTTTTCTTTTTTTAAATTTATTTATTTCAGTGAGAGAGAGAGCATAAGCAGGGGGTGAAGGAGAGGGACAGGGAGAAGCAGGTTCCCTGCTGAGCAGGGAGCCCAATGTGGGCTATGACCTATAGGTGACTAAAAACATCAGAGGTGAAGTTAGGAGGAACCTCACACCTGAAATGCATTCAATTCCATGCCTTGTCTGCATCTGAGACGACACGTGACTAGGCCCTCCGGGCAGATGTACAGACAGACTGCGGTTCTGCTGGTACTGGAGCAAGAGCCAAGGAGACGGAACTAAAAACTAGAACTGTGAGACAGCAGCTAATTCCAGAGGAAAAAATCCAAGAAAGATAGTCCCGGAGAATGCCAGAGAAAAAGGAATCTTTTTTTTTTTTTAAATGACTTTATTTATTTGAGAGAGAGAGAGAGCAAGTGAGCAGGCACAACAGGGAGAGCAGGAGAGGGAGAAGCAGGCCTCCCGCGGAGCAGGGAGCCCGACGCAGAGCTCCATCCCAGGACCCTGGGATCATGACCTGAGCCGAAGGCAGACGCTTAACCAACTGAGTCACTCAGGTGCCCCCCAGTATTTTCTTTCGTTCATGACTGACCTGCCCCTATTTCTAAGTGAATGCCCTTTCTATACCTTCACAAATTCCCTTTAGGAAAACAAAATGTATAATTTGTGATCTCTAATAATTTTTACTTCAACATGGTAGAGAAGTTTTTAAAACAGTTATATAACTAAGTAAAGAGTGTTTAAACTTGACACCAAAAGCACAGTTCATAAAAGGGAACATTAATAAATTGGAACTCAACAAAGTTAAAAACTCTTGCTCCATGAAAAACTGAAAAACCCTCTTAGGAATAAAAAAAATTCTAGACTGGCAGAAATATCTGCAATCACACATATGACAAAGGACTAGTATCCAGAATATGAAGACAAGTCCCAAAACTCAACAGGAAAAACAACAACAACAACAACAATTAATTCAATTTAAAAAAGGGCAAAAGGTACTGTTAAGGACTGAACTGTACTTCCCTCCAAATTCACATGTTGAAGCCCTCATCCTCCAAGTGACTATATGCCAAACTAAGGCCTTTAAAGAGGTAATCAAGTTTAACTGAGACCATCTGGGTGGCATCCTAATCGAACAGGACGGGTGTCCATACAAGGAGAGAGAGAGACACCAATGGTGGCAGAGAGAAAAACCCACGTGAAGACACATTCGAAGACAGCTGTCTGCAAGCCAAAGAGAGACAGCTCAGGAGAAACCAAACTTGCCAACACTGTAATCTTGAACTTCCAGTCTCCTGGAAGAACTGTGAGAATGTCAGAAATAAATATCTGTTAATTTTGTTATGGCAGCACTAGCAAATGAATACAGATTTCAATAAATAATTCACCGAAGGACTTATAGCAAAAAGCACATGAAAAGATAAAACTTCATTATCTATTAGGAAAACAAAACTACAGCAACATATCACTACACACGTATCAAAATGGCTCTCATCTTATATATAAAAACATACAGTGAGAACACAGAGGAAAGAGATCACTCATACACTGGTGGTGACTGTAAAAGATTACAGCCACTTGCAGTTTGGCACTTTCTTACAAAACTAAACTTGCAATTACCATACAATCCTGTAATTGCACCCCTGGGTATTTATCCCTGGGAAACAGAAATTTATTCTCATACAAAAACCTGTACACAAGTATTCGTAACAGCTTTATTCCTATTAGCCAAAATGGAAACAACCCAGATGTCCTTCAATGGATGAATGGTTAAGCAAATGGTTAAAAAAAAAAAAAAAAGAAAGAAAAAAATGGTTAAATATTTATGCCATTGGAATACCACTCAGAAATAAAAACAAATGACACACACAACAAATCTGATTAATGTCCAGATAAATACGATGAGTGAGAAAAATCCTAAAAGGTTACATACTGTATTATTCCATTTATATACCATTCTTGAAATGACAAAATTATAAGAGATAGAGAACCAATTAGTGCTTGCTGGGGATTCAGAGGGGCAAGTTTAAGCACAGGAAATGAAGTAGGTTTAGAGATGCAATGACAACATGAAGTATCTTTGAGATGCAAATATTCTGAATCTTGACTGTATGAATGTCAATATTTTGGCTATAATACCTTACTAGTTTTGCAAGATGTTGCCACCGAGGGCAATAAGACACCAGACTTCTCTGTATTCTTAAAACAGCATGTGAATCTACAGTTATTTTAAATTAAAAAGTGTGAT